TAAATGTTTAAAGTCTAATAATGAGGTGAATATAGTAGTACTAAATTTGTTTATTATTATGTTGAGAATGGAATTAGAATGCTTAAAATTATGAGAGGGCCCTGAATGAACAGGACCCTGAATGAACAGGACCCTGAATGAGAGGGCAAAAAGTATGAGAATTTATACAGGATTACCGAAGATATTTTGGATAGAAATAGTGAGCACTACAACATACCTCATTAATCGAGGACCCTCAGTTCCCATAGGATTTAAGATTCCCGAGGAAGAATGGCAAGGCAAGAATGTAAGTTTTTCTCATTTGAAAGTATTTGGTTGTGCTTCTTATATTTGTGTTAAAAATGTTAACAGGGACAAGCTTGATCTGAAAGCAAGAAAGTGCATTATTTTTATTGAATATGGAGCAGATGATATGAGATATCGTTTCTAGGTGATTAGAAAAAAAAGATCATTAGAAGCAGAAATGTTATATTTAATGAAAATGCAATGTATAAAGATAGACTTGAGACAAAAGCTGAAGTTGAAAAGAAGTCAACAGAGAAGGAAAAAGTAGTGTTAGAGGACATTACAGAAGACGATCTTTCAGAAAAAGGTGGGAGCTTGGGAGATAGGACTGTTGAAGAGACTATTCCTATCACCCCAGTAGTTGAACTAAGGAGATCCAGTAGCGTTATTAGGCATTCTCACAGGTTTTCTCCTTCAACAAATTACTTGTTATGTATCAGGCGACGTTGAAATAGAACCGACGTTGAAAGTCCTGACTTTCAAATCAAAAATTTTTATTTATTTCCAACCCCTCTCCTCTCTCTCTATTTATCTAGAAATCCCCCCTCTCTTTTATATTATATTTTTATTATTTATCATCTTTTTTTAAAGTTTAGAGCATTACGAAATTAATTTTTTGTCACTGACAAAGGATTCGAACCTAGTACCTTAGTGTTGGAGGTCGATACTCCAACCACTAAACTACTCGAATTTTTTGATAATAACTTACAAATAAATTATATTTATATACAAATAAATATATATCCGTGTAAATATATAAATATATAAATACAAATATATTTATATATTTTGATATATTTATATAATTATATATTTATATGTTGGATGTGAGGGCACGCTCGAAGGTGAAAATGTGTCGAGTGAGTTTTCAAAATTTGATGTCAAATTTGTGAGCGAGTCTCTTTATATGGGTTTGTAATTTAATGACAGAATATAATATTTATAATTTATTAATGATATAAAATAAATATGAGAAACGCATCATTCGCTCAAGCGAAAAATATCAATTTTCGCTCAAGCGAGGCTTGAACGAGTGAATTTTCGTGAGTTTTAACGTATTTTCACTCAAGCAAGAGTCAATCTCACTTTCACCCTCGAACGCGCCTTCACATCCAACATATAAATATATAACTATATAACTATATAAATATATATAAATATATCAAAATATATAAATATATTTGTATTTATATATTCTATATTTATATATTTACACGAATATATATTTATATGTATATAAATATAATTTATTTGTAAATTATTATAAAAAAATTATAGTAGTTTAGTGGTTGAAGTATCAATTTTCAACTCTAAAATACTCGGGTTCAAAAATCTCGTTAGTGACAATTCTCTAACTTAAGTAAATTTTTGGCTGAAAAAAAATAAAAACACTTTTCAGAAAATATATATATTTACACGGATATATATTTATTTATATATAAATATAATTAATTTGTAAGTTATTATCAGAAAATTACAGTAGTTTAGTGGTTGGAGTATCAACTTTTAACTCTAAAATACTGGGTTCGAATCTTCTCAGTGACAATTCTCGAACTTAAGTAAATTTTGAACTGAAAAAAATAAAAACACTTTCTAGAAAATATATATAAATAAATATATATTTACACGGATATATATTTATTTGTATATAAATATAATTAATTTGTAAGTTATTATCAGAAAATTACAGTAGTTTAGTGGTTGGAGTATCAACTTTCAACTCTAAAATACTGTGTTCGAATCCTGTCAGTGATAATTCTTGAAATTAAGAGAATTTTTGGGTGAAAACACATTCAACGTCGGTTCATCTGGGAACCGACATTGAATGTCTAAATTAAAGGACTTTCAACGTCGGTTCATCTAGAACCGACGTTGAAAGTGCTTTCTACGTCGGTTGACTAAGAATTGACGTAGAATGTGTCCAACATTCCACTTTCAACGTCGTTTTTTAACCAACCGACGTTGAAAGTGTATTTAACGTCGGCTCAGCTTTAACCGACGTTAAATGGCAACGTTGAAAGTATATTTTGTAGTAGATGAATGATGCAGCTCAATGTGGATTAATCATTCAAAAGAAGATGAACTCACTTGAGAAAAATAAATCTTGGTGTTTGACTGACCTACTAGCAGAAAAGTGGGCATTGCAGAATAAGTGAGTTTTCATAATCAAGGAAGAGCATGATGACAACAAGAGATATAAGGCATGGTTGGTGATGAAAGACTTTCAACAGAAAAGAGGTTCTAACATGGATGAAATCAATAGATTGAAAACATAGTTGTCTTACGAGTTTGAGATGAAGGATTTTAGTATTGCAAAGCATATTTTGGGTATGAATATCAGCTGGAACAAGTTTGAAGGTTCCCTAATATTATCTCAAGAGAAATATATTGGAAAAGTGCTAGAGAAATTCAATATGCAGGATGCTAAAATTCTAAGTACAATTCTAGGAGTTTACTTTAATATCACTCAATAAGAGTCACCTAAGACAGATAAAGACAATGCAGCAATAACTAAGGTTCTTTATGCATATACAATCGGTAGCTTAATGTATGCAATGGTATGCACTAGACCAGACATTACTCATGCACTCATACAGTGTGAGTTGTTAGTAGATTCATGTCTAATCCAGGAAGGAGACATTGGGAAGTTGTCAAGTGGTTGTTATGTTACTTGAAAGGTCATTCTAAAACTGTAATATATTTTAGAAGAAATGATGTTATTTTAAAAGGATATTCCGATGCAGATTTGGAAGGTTGTTTAGACGCAAAGAAGAGTACTACATGATTTGTCTTCATAGCAGGTGACACAGTAGTTAGTTGGATATCCCGACTTCAGAAAAGTGTTGCACTTTTAACCACAAAATCAAATTACATGGCTATTTCGAAAGCCAATAAGAAAATTATTTGGTTAAAGAATTTTCTTGAGGAGCTAGGAAAAAAGTAGTGTGACAATGTTCTTTATAGCAACAGTCAAAGTGTCATTCATCTTGCAAAGAATTTTGTTTTTCATGCAAGAACAAAATACATCCAGTTAAGGTATCACTTCATTAGAAAACTAATAAATGATGGTACTTTATTTTTGGAGAAAATCATTTGGTCAAAGAATCCCGCAAATATGTTGACCAAGGTGGTTGCTACTAAGAAGTTGAAGTTTTACATAACTTCAACTGACTTTCATAGTTAATTGTTGAGAGAACATTGCACTAGTTTGACATTGTTATAACTTTGAGATTTACTAGATTTACTCTGAAGTGTGCTTGATGTGATCAACCTCCAAATAGGAGATTGTTAAGTATGTGGAGTTTGAAGGGTTATTAGGTCTTACCATTTACTTATTCTTTTATTTATGTAAATGAAAATTATCATCTAGTATAGTCGTAAACATAGGTTACTTTGATTCATATAAATTTTTTGTATTCTTGTTATTTACTTTTATCTTGTATTGTATTTGTGTTCCCAAACAACTAATAGTTAAGTTTGAATCAATATATAACAATTGTAAAAATATATATATATATATATATATATATATATATATATATATATATATATATTCTTTCAAGATCTGATGGGCTAATGACTTTGTGAAGAGTTCCAAACATAGGTTGGATATATATAATGGTGGGTCATTAAATAGTCGTTTAAAATTATAAATGTGAGATATTTAATTAAAAATTTGAAAATTAATTAAAGAATATTTAAATATATATAAAAAACAAATTTACAAAAATAAAATCTAAAAATAAATCTAAAAATGTTATTAATGATTATTTTTTTTAATATTCTACGAGCATGTTCATCAAACGAAAAAAAAGTAACACGTGACAACATTTTCATATTGCTACATGAACAATATAGAAATCACCGATAACTTAACCATAGAAAACCCCACCTTTCTCTTGTAACCATTCCCTAACTTGGTTACCAAGAAAAAAGCAACGTTACTTTTATTTCGTTTAATCAAATTTTGAAATTAGGGAACAAATGCTTAAATATTCGCCATTCTTATCGATCTACTAAACCTCAAAACCATGGTGTCGAGTAAAGTGTTAGCAAACTTTTGACAACAAAAGACAACTTTAATCCTCTTCATTTTCTTCATAAACAACACCAAAAGTAATTAATTAACTAATTAATTAATATGGACCTATACTTGCTAGATTTATCTTTTATTCACTTCGAGCATTACAATTTAGTATAGTAGTTGTGTTTCTCATACAAATCTAGCTTGAGAAAAGACAAACATCCACGCGTGTGTGTAAAAGTTTCGAATAATTAAAAACAATTTGAAAGAAGGTAAAAGAAGAGAAAGAAGAATTGAGTATTTTAAAGAAAACGATAAACAAAGGAGGTAAAAAAAATTGTCGTTTTACTTTAACCAAATAAAAATAATATAAAGACAATTTTAAAATTGTCAAAAATAAAAAAATAAGCCTATCAGATTTAGAATTATATACAATTTTTGTTTTACAAGATTAAGTTAGATATTTCAAATATTACATCAAAACTAATTTTATATTAAAATATTATTAAGTTATAATGGTAGTTTTGAAAATAAATAAATAAATAAATGTAATGAATAATAATGTAGTTTAGAAATTGAATAAAGTGTATACATTCTTTTAGTTAGTTGTAGGATGATTCGATTCAAACTAAATTGTTGATAAAAGAACAAAACTGAAGCATAAGAGGATGCAATATGGTATATGAATTGATTAATATGCACGTACCCATTTGAGTTGACCAAAACGTTGAGCATCAGACAAAGCCTCCTTCATTTTAGCCGTTCGTGGGTGGTGCATCCACATGGTGCCATCCATGAACTGCACCCCATGACTCTCACAAGCCTCAAGAATCCGGTCAAGCTCCGCCACACTCATCGCCGCCGGCTTCTCCAGCAACACGTGCTTCCGCCTCTCCGCCGCCCTCACCGCCCATGTCACGTGCAAACCCGTCGGAAGAGGGATGTACACCGCGTCTACCTCTTTATCTTCAATCACATCCTCGTAACTTCCATATACCCTAATCGTGGTAGGCAGATCATGTTCGATGGCGAAGTTCTTAACCTTCTCGATCGAACGACTGCCTAGGGCGTGAAGCACCGCGTTTGGTGCTTTGGTTATGGCTTTGCATAGCTTGATGGAGATGTTAGCACAACCAAGAATGCCAAAACGCACTGCATGTTCATCATCACCCATGTGTTGTGTCACTAATTTGGAGATTATTGTGATTAGTGTGAGGTGATTAGAGATAAACACTGTTTAACAAGTACTTATCTAGGACACCAAAGCAAGATTGGTTGCATATGTTTTTAAAATATCATTAGTTTAGCATTATAATTGCAGGTGGTTGGATCCCATGATGTTATTAAATGTAGCAAATTGACCTATGAAATTAAGATACATTTTTTTTTTCTTTTCATAGACATCACATTTTGCTTTTAAAAGGGTTTCCATGTCTTCTGGAGATAGAAAAGGAATCACTACCTTATTTTATTTATCTCTTACCTACTACTACATTGCTATATTTCCAATACAATTGTGCATGCTTTTCATTAGTTGTCTTTTGTGGATTTTTATTCAAATTAAACACCAATTATTGAAATAATTTGTGATATTCTTGATTTGGTGGAGATTAAGAAACATAACCATAGTTGACCTTCAAATCATTTTTTTTTCCTCGAGTTATTTAAAGGCCAAAGTTTCTAGAAGGAATAATCTTTTGAGTTAGAAAAGTGGATGTATTTATTTGACTCTAATGATATCTTAAATCTGTTGTTTATTTTCATTCTCGTTTTCCCACTAAACAAAAACTATGGATTTACCAAATCATGTATTTTCCTACTTTAGGAACGTGGAATGTTACATGTAATGTAATCATATTTAGGTTTAGAAAACAAAATTGCTTAAAAAATGTGAAAATGTATCGTTTTTTAAATCAAATAAAAAGTAGTTTCAATTGGTTTTAGTTTGAAGTGATTTTGAGTTTCATTTCTTTTTTATTGTTTCTTTTTTCTACTCATATTTTTTTCTTGTACTCCGCTATCTATCTTAAACGATAATAACAACTAGAAATTCTCATATTTTAAGAGAATATATTTGCAAACTTTTTTATAAAAGTTACAAAAAATAAGTTTTCTATATATTTAAACAATTTTTTTTTAAATTGTGAAAAAACCGTTGAGAAAACCGACAGAGACACGATCAAACTTTATTCCCGAGGCGTGTATAATCACCGCCCTTAAGGACTTATCCGCGGTGTATTGCGCAAGTCCCCCAGGATACAACAGGAACTTCTCGGAATATCTGAGGATCTCAGAAACTAGCAAGAAACTCTCAAAAGAATAAATTAACCCAGGAACACAGAAAGAATATCAGAGAAGAGAAGATGAGAGAGGTGTGTTTTGAAGAGTGTGAAGTGGTCTCTATTTATAAGAGAAAGTTTGTAACAGTTATGGAAGACTTGGTAGTGGGTCTGTAACGTTCCCTGTAACGTTCTCTGAAACAGTCTTCTGCAACGTTATCTGAAATAGTCTTCTAGTTCTCTGAAACGGTCTTCTGCAACGTTCTCTGAAATAGTCTTTTGCAACGTGTGAGAACACGTTCTCTGAAATAGTCTTCTGCAACGTGTGAGAACACGTGCTCTGAAACGGTTTTCTGCAACGTGTAAGAACATGTGCTCTGTTTTGCAATACCCCTTAATTTACAACAATCCCCCACGTATTGCAAAACAAAAGGGATAAAAGAAATAAAAGAAGAAAATCCTGGGTCTCATATAAGATGTAATGCATCAGAGCTGGTATAGCAAGCTATATGAACCAGTCTTAAACTAAAAAACTTAACACACAGTGTAGTTGGTGTAACAAGCTATATGAACCAAAACACTTGATGTGTGTTAGCGGTTTTAATAATCACAATACACCCCCACAATTCTTGCTGTTATCGCTGTGTTGTGCTTACTAGGCCATGCGCGTGCCCAGTATTCATGAGTGCTCTAGAAATCTTGCAAAGATCTCATACAAGCGGCCCCACTCGACACTCATATAGGTGACTTCATCAAGCGTATGCTGCAAATCATACACCAACCTTAAGGGATATGAAATCGTTTAAAAACTTTGTTTAGACTAAAATTCGTACACCATATAGAATTTTAATTACAAAGTTTAACCTCTCAATGATGCAGTATCTAGCACTTTCACATATACACCATAGGAATGGACATAATTGATTTTAATCAATTTTAGTGCTAGCAGAACTAACAAGTGACTTGTTTTTACCCATATGAACCTTATTCATGGGATCTCCAATCACAAAGGTTGGGTTACCATCACCTGTTTGTTTGCAAGTTACTTAAGGCCCATTCCCCTCGATGTTTCTAAAATCATATTTCTCGCTAAGGGTTTTGTTAGAGGATCTGTTAGATTCCGTTCTGACTTCACATAGCCAATGGAGATTGTTCCATTCTTTAGCAACTGCTTCATTAAATTATGTCTCAACTGTATATGTCTGTTTTTTCCATTGTAATTCTTATTTTTTGCTATAGCTATTGCCGATTGACAATCACAGTGTATTGATATAGACGGGATCGGTTTCATTCCTAATGGAATGTTTACTAAGAAGTTTTTCAACCACTTAGCTTCACTACCAGCCATTTCGAGAGCAACAAATTCAGATTCCATTGTTAGTCTTGCAATAATTGTTTGTCTGGCTGATTTCCATGTAATCACACCACCCCCGAGTGTGAATACATAGCCACTAGTGGATTTTGTCTCATCTGAATCAGAAATCCAGTTAGAATCACTGTATCCTTCTAGTACAGCGGTAAATCCACTATATTCAATGACATAATCCATTGAACCTCTTAAGTATCTCATAAGTCTTGTAAGTACATTCCAATGTTCTTGATTAGGACATTGAGTGCACCTACTCAGTCTACCTACTGCATAAGCAATGTCAGGTCTGGAAATGCAGTAAGCTCCCAATTACCTGGGCATACTGAGGTTGAGAGATTGAGTCTCCTCTATTTTTCTTTAACTTAGAGTTAGCATCATAAGGGGTATTCACTGGTTTGGCGTTAATAACACCAAAACTTCCTAAGAAGTTTCTCAATATATTGTTCTTGGGATAGAAAAATATTATCGCCCTTCCTTATAATTTTAACTCCCAAAGTCACATTGGCTTCATTCATATCTTTTATTTCAAATTTAGATCCCATAAACAACTTAGTTCTAGAGTACACACATGTAATGCATGTACCAAATATTAGCATATCATCTATATATAAACATATAATGACACATTCACCACTCTCAAATTTAGAGTACACACATTTATTAGCATCATTAGTTGAAAAACCATTACAAAGTAGAAACACTATCAAGTTTTTCATGCCATTGTTTTGGTGCTTGTTTTAATCCATATAAGGATTTTAAAAGTCTGCACACTTTGTTCTCTTGACCTGGAACAACACACCCTTCAGGTTGAGTCATATAAATTTCTTCCTCTAATTCACCATTCAAAAAAGTTGTCTTAACGTCCATTTGGTATATAACTAGTTTATGGATAACTGCTAGAGCTAACAAAACTCGAATAGAGGAAATCCTAGTCACAGGGGCAAAGGTGTCAAAATAATCAATGTTGGATTTTTGAGTAAAATCATTTGCTACTAATTTTGCCTTATATTTATCTATGGATCCATCAGAATGATACTTTTTCTTAAAGATCCACTTACAACCAATAGGTTTTGTTCCTTTAGGCAAATCTACCAAAGTCCAAGTATTATCTTTCTTAATTGAATCAATTTCAGTCTTAATGGCCTTATCCCAATGTATTGTATCAGGAGCCCTAGTAGTCTCTAAAAAACTCGTTGGATCATTTTCAACTAGATAAGTGTAGAAATAATCTCCAAAGGAGGTTTCCTTCCTCTGTCTTTTACTTCTCCTCAAATCCTCATATATTTTATCACTATTAATCTCTATACATTGTTTAGGTGTCTCACTAAACTTTAGAGGAAAAATATGTTCAAAGAACTCAACATTTTTTGTCTCCACTATAGTATTATGCTCAATTACATCACTTTTGAGGACAAGAAACTTATAGGCAACACTATGTTCTGCATAGCCTAAGAACATACAATCAGAAGGTTTAGAACCTATTTTCCTTTTCTTATGATTGGATAACATTACCTTATCTAGGCACCCCACACTCTTAGATATTTAAGATTAGGTTCATAACCTCTCCATAACTCATAGGGAGTTTTACCCGTTTTCTTAAAAAAAAACACTGTAAGTATATATTCTCTCAGAGGTTATTTGGTGCACTTTGGTGTATGTAGAGTAGTCATCTATAAATGTCACAGATCATATGAATAAATAATATAAGCAGAAGAACAAAATATCCCTTCCTTATAAGGACATTATTTTTTTATTTTTTATTTTTGTCATAATAATCTTATCAGATTCAAATGACACTTTAACCCCAACTTTCCAAACTTTTCCCAACAGTGCTACAGAGATTATATTAGCTCTGATTAATGGCACATGTAGCACATTATTCAAGGTCAGAGTCTTTCCAAATGTGAGTTTTATAAGAACTTTTCATTTCCTAAGACAGGAGTTGTCCTGGAATCACCGAGATAAATATGTTCTTCTCCATCCCCAACATTAGTATAGGAGGTAAAATCACTTCTGTTTGCACAGATGTGCCTGGTAGCACCAGAGTCTACCACTCATTTGCTCACATTTGTCACAAAGTTTATTTGGGAAACGACCACAATAATGATATCTTCTCCTTTGGCTAAATTTACCTTAGGAGGATTGTCGTTTCTTATTCTATATGCATGATGACTTGACTTTCCACACAAAAAATAATTATCCTTTTTCTTGAACGTAACGTGGGGTTAAATCCATTGATTTCATACAGTCTCAACCCTTTCTTATAAGTATGTACAAAATAATATGGGGACAAAATAATATTCTACTTATACGTATGTACAAAATAATATGTGGACAAAATATTATTGTACAAAATAATATGTAGATCTAAGTCATACATTGTATACATGTAATTGCTAATTATTCACAAACAAAATCTCTCATAACATATAATAATTTTGCATAATTTCTCCCATAACATAAAATAATTATGCATAATGCATTTTTCATTTTCTCTGTTGTATTGGTGTAATAAATCCGAAAAAG